AAAGAAAGAAAGAAAGAAAGAAAGAAAGAAAGAAAGAAAGAAAGAAAGAAAGAAAGAAAGAAAGAAAGAAAGAAAGAAAGAAAGAAAGAAAGAAACTATTTTTTATGAAGGAAAGAAAGGGATAATACTCATAAGAGTTCCACTGCTGAAGCAGAATTGTATATTAGAGGAAAAATAAAATAATTCACTAAGATTTAGGAATGGAATTTTACCTCACTGTTAAGTTTTCTGCAATGTGCAGGAACAGATTTGGAAATCTCTAGGCTTCTTGAGATATCATATGTTTSTGAACTTTTTGGCAAATATCTTTTCCTGCAGGAACAATTAATTTTTATTGAGTTGCTTTGTGGTAAAAAAATGCTCATCTATTCTCTACTGAGGATAAAGGCACTAATATATTATGCACAGTACCAAAATGTTAGTAAAATACAGTACCTGCTTCCAATAGTTTCCTATTAAATGTAAAAAATGTTGTATAGGTAATAGAGCAGATGGCAGAGAGAATAATCTTAGCCTGAGACAAACATGAAAAGAAGTTAGATAATGGATTTTTCAGACACATTTGCCTGCACATTTGCCTGCCTCTGTTATGCAGAGCTGAGATAATCACAGATTTTTTAATGCATTCTATTCAAAACCATGTGGCATTATTCCCTTCTATGATGTAAACACACTTTTTTTGTGTGACGCTATGAATTTTGAATCTTTGGGAAGTAWGTACTTTTGTTAATCAGGTTTTTTAAATTGTAAAGACACAGTTATGGATCCCCTTTGTATGTGTGAATGAATATTAATTCTTTTTGTGTTTTGCTTCAAAATGATTCATGCAAATGCTGTGAAAATTTCAGACTGTAAATGTTGAAAAGYTTTAAAATACTTATTGTGTTAATTTTCTGCATTTATCTTCCCCAACACTGTTGGTATTTTGTCTGTGTCGGCATCTTGCTTATTTGTCACTATAAATGTAAATGCACAAACATATCTGGTATTAGGGCGTGATTAATTTTATTTATCCAGCCATTTAAATTACTGGATTCACTAGATGATGGCTAATATCAAGTTGACTTTTTTTGAAAAAAAAACCTTTTTCCAGAATTTTGTATCCTTTATCTGTGGTCTGAAAAAGGGACTAAAAACCAATATAAGCCAGACTGCCTCCATTAGAAACATTAGAAAAATCAGAGAGGGAATGTGCATCAGTGACTAGATATCAGCAGAAGTGTTCTTTGGCTTCTCTTGGGATTTCTGTTTTCCTAACAGTACTCAATCTGGAGGACTGTTCTAGGGGAATTGGACAGTTGACCTTTACTCCAGCAGTGTCCCAATAGTTTCTGAAGCTGATTATATCTCAAAACCTCTCCAAACAGTCTTGAGCTCATCATACTAAATTAATTTTCTCTGTGTGCTCACATCCAGTTCCCTTTTCCATGCTGTTTATGTCATGTAAAGGCATAAGGGAAAGAAATTCATAGGGCTTTTAAACACTTAGCACTTCCTACAGGAACAGCTTCCTCGCTATTTATAGGGGTAGTATACATCTCCCAGTGGTATCAGAAACAGAAACACAGTAGGGCAGGAGGTAGTGTGATGTTGAATTCTCATCTACATTTTTATGAAAAAGAAAGCACCTGTGTCTATACTTTTKTAAGACTAATARTAAAAAAGTTACAAAAACCTTCATWCATTCATTCCAGGAATATTCTTTTTTCTTAGGTRGCTTTTGTGTTTCTTTTGAAGTCTGCAGAAAATGTGTCTTTCTCTTTGTTTTTTAAGAATATCTTCTTTAGGGGAGWGTGTATGTCCTTCCTATGAAGATAAGCTGCATTTAAGCAGGCTTTTTTGTATTCACCAAAAAGCTGAAGAGTGGGTCCCATAAGTTGTGAATGCTTYCTGCTGACCACCTAGTGCAAAGCTGGTATTTCTCTAAAGAAGGATTGGCATCTACTAGTGAAGTAGATTGCTTTTAAAAGAGACTTGTAATTGTTATGCTGTCTAGATATTCACCTTAATACTCTTACTATGGTTGTCAAAAATAATTGCAGTTCCAGATTTCCACTGAATATCAGTACTAATTGGAAGACAGGAAGAACTCCATTTTTCATCATRAAAACTGACAGCCCATTTGAACAAAATTCAAATTAAAAATCCCAGACTAGGAGAAACTGATCTCTTAAGTGAATCTGATGTATGCACATGATATTTAACTTTTGTCTAAATCCTTGCACTTTCTTCAYAGCCCTGAGCCACTGTCCTCTCAGKTATCTGGGACTCTCTCTTGCTTCCCTATGCATGGTCTCTGGAGGAAACAAACCACGTGTTAAAGTACTTTTTGCCTTTTCCTCAGAGAGCTCTGCACAGCTGCTCAACAATCTGTCTCTGTGCTTATTGCTGGAGATAGCTGTGGCTAAATGTTACCCTGCTTACTTTCACGTCTCTTCACAGGAAATGTCTCCTCCTTATCACTGTTAACCCCAGGAAATTATCCTTYAGTCCCCACTGCTTCTGCTTTGTGAGAGCAGGAAGCACTGTGATAAGCATAAATCCCACTGAGCTTTGCATTTCACATAAAGCGTGCTAGGATTTCAGATGGAGAGCAATGACAGGATCAGGTGAAATATAGTCCTAGCAATACCCTGGGGCAGAGGATGCATGCTGAGAATACAAACTCACATGCACTTAAAACTGTCCAGTTTTTCTGTGACATGTCAGTGAATTTTTTTTCTCTGCAACAGAGTTTCCAGCTGAGGGACAGTCAGATGTAATAATGGCATGGGACTGTCTTTAAATGAGACTTGTTAAAAGGTCATTAATATTGTTTGGTTTTTTTTTTTTAATTGAAGTTACTGTTTTTCCAGAATCATTCCAAAAAATGTTATGTATGTACAGCAAAATGGTATTTCATACTCATGTTTTTTRTTCTCCCCAAATGGACAAAAATGGACAAAATGTGTTTATCATATTGGGTATCTTGAATCTGAATGCCAGTAGTATCAGAGATGTGTATGAGCAGAACATGAGTTGAGTTTAACCCCAGTGTTACAAAATACTTAGGAGACACTGAAATTTCTGGATAGTTTGAGAAGACTATCAAATCAAATTGAAAATAGGACATGGTTCAGAAGTGCGTGATCATTTGAAGAGTTTTTATGTCCACACAACTTTTGTGCCCCTCTGAGAGATTGTTTACATTTCCACCTACTTCTGGGATATTAAGAGGCCACAAAAGTATGACTATTTCATTCCATAGAACTGTGAAATATAAGAGTGTCCATAATTCCTATGATACATTACAGAATTTAAAATTYAAGAGGGTTCTAGCTCACAATTTTGAGATACCGGTTTGGATGAATTAATGTATTGCTTAAAAATTCCTGTTTCTTGTAGTGTTTCCTCTCTGTTGACTCTTCACCTTTTGATATAAAATGACATTTATAACTATTTTGCTAGCAAGTGAGAATCCTGACTTAGCTGGGTTCCAACCGTTTTCCTAGTTTGGTCTGGTCAGATATGTAAGGCCCCAGCTCATATGTTTGAATGAAAGGTAAAATGTTTTTAGTGTCCGAATTAGCCTTACCTGAGAAAGCAGATCATTGCTTTGAGAGCAGAGCTGCAGCTCCTGCTAGCAGGCATTTCATGACACAGATATGGGCAGTTCTAATGAATAAAAGGTGAAAGTGACTTTGCTCCTCTCTCATCTACCACCTTCTCACTCCCCCCMAAAAATTCTGTTAGGCAGGCATACTTTTTCTTTCCCAAATTCCATTTATGTGGGAAGCAGGCAGGAAGGACAGGGAAAAGTGAACGAAGTGTCTGCTTAGTCCATGTCAGCATTCTGTGGGCATGCCAATTTATGACCCAGGTATRGCAATTTATATCATCTTCCCATGCCTTCCCTTCCTATATCCCTTCAGGATATTGCTGAGACTGCTGCCTCTTTAAAAATGCTGACCCAACTAACTTTCACAGCTGCATGTGACCTACATCTTCACTCACTCCTTGGTTTAAATCCAGCTCCCAAAGGCTTAATAGGTGCAAGATCCTGCTTCAATACTTGTCTACATCACAGTCTAATTGGCTTCTGCTTTTCCAGGGGCTTTCTGCTAGCTAGAATTATAGTACTTATGTCATTAAAATAAAAGGTGTGAAAGGGAGGACATACCCGGGGGCAGAAGGAGACCATCACATACTGTGGGCAGGATCATGGAGAAGCTATGGGGTTTAARGCTATGGGAAAAAGTCAGGTGGAAAATGAGAAGGCTATTCTGGTTGAACAACAGAAAAAATTTATGCTTCTCTACTTTACCACAAACACCAATTCAAAGTACTTGAGAGTTTCAAGTAGAGTCATGATGAAATAGGAAGTTACTAGTTACTCATGAAAGCCATAAATAGTTGTGAAAGAATTAAAGATAAATAAAATCAACAGGTTTCGTTTTCTAAGCAGAAGGTTTGTATCACATTTAACAAGTTCTTTTTTCAGATTTTTAATCATAATTCTTTGAGTTTTTAATTGGTCCTAAGGTTGTTTTTTTTTTTTTTTTTTTTTTTTTTTTAATTCCTTTTTTTTTTTTTATTTGAAAACAGATGTGAGTTTCTTTGCTTATTTACTCCATGCATTTTTGCCTTCCCATAGTGGACGATACAGTGGTTACTATTCCCTATGGANTTTTTAATTGGTCCTAAGGTTGTTTTTTTTTTTTTTTTTACTGCTTTGTAAATACCTATTTCACTGCTTATTTGAAAACAGATGTGAGTTTCTTTGCTTATTTACTCCATGCATTTTTGCCTTCCCATAGTGGACGATACAGTGGTTACTATTCCCTATGGAAGCAGGCAAGTTCGCCTCGTGCTGAAAGGACCCGATCATTTATGTAAGTAGAAGAAGTTGGTGTTCACTGTTTTAAGAGAGCCCTGGTAGCCTGCAGTGCTCTGTTTACACTGTGATGTCTGGTTTCCCTCTATCTGATTGCTGATTTCAACACACAGAGGAGYCCTACCCTCAGCTCTCCTCATCCTGATACCTCAGTGGCACACACTCTTTTCAAAGCAAACCTTGGCCAAGAGTACAGAATTCTTTGCCCCTCCATAATTTTTCAGTCCCTTCTGTTTGTTTATCCTTTGGCTGGCTCACTTGGTGTCAAGTGCTTTTGTTTGAAATTAATAAAATGTATACCACTGAGTGGTGTATTGAAAGAAGAAATATTGAGAACAGTAAAGTGTAAGCTTCCCTGCAGCTCAGCTCAGCCATCAAGCTGCTCATGACTTTAACACATTTCTGTTATGATAACCTCTCTCACTCGCCTTGATACACGCATCACACTCTGAAAATCACTCTAAAAAATCACTCTAAAATCTGACACTGCATACACAAATGAAACCACATTCCTGAGCAGCGATACTGCTCCAAAGAGTTGAGATGAATGAGTTCTGCTAGCCCATCACTTGGTGGCCATAACACTTTCCTACTTTGTCTGCATATTCCAGCAGCTGTATATCCCTGTTCTCTGGGAGGAATCTCAGGATTTGAGAATACTGTGCAAGAGCTGAAGGCAAATCCATTTATTTCATTAATAGAAGCTCCTGGCATTCCTCTCTCTAATCTTCCAGTTCAGTGTAGCTGCTCAGAAGCTGTTCCCTTTCCCGTCAACAGCAATGAATATCAGAGATACAAGTTACTGTCGGAAAAAAAAAAAAAAAAAAAAAAAAAAAAGCACAAACTGTATTCCATGACTTCTCAGTAGCACAAATTATTCTAAGTTGGGCTATCCTTCTCCTTTTCCAAAAGTCTTTAGGAGTTTCCTGCAGCATAGACCAGTTATGTCTTCTATGTTTGTCAGTGTAGGTACAAACCTGCATGTCAGCAGGGATATGAAACATCAGATTCATTTCACTGTCTTCGTATTTTCTTTCACCCAAAGAATTTATATGGGTTATCAAAATAAGGGGTGGCTTACCAGTCCTGTTCTGTAGCTCCCTGAGAAARCAATGGGTACTTCAGATTTAAAGCTGTGAATAAAGACCAGCAAATTATAGGTTATAAACCAGGAAAAAATAGATTATGTTTTTGTTAAAAGTTCAAATGTTGCCTGTACCTCAGTTTTAAGTGGCCCTTTCGGTATTTCTGAGCTGTTCCAGTATATGATATGCACTCTTTCTTTCTCTCCTGTCTTCTGTTCCAACATGGATGTTCTCTTCCAACATTGAAAAATTTTGTGCTTTTATTATTGTTTCAGTGAAATTGAACTATAAGACAGCTCAGAGAGAAATGATATTTTAGCTGGGAGATTGATCTAAAGCTGCCTTTACACAGGCCATATCATATTTCATGACTAAAAGATTTGAATCAGCAAGGTCTGCCTGAGTCACTGGTAGAGATTTAGATTAACTGCACTGTGTAAACATGAATAAGTTCAAATATATCTCTTTCTTGTTTCAGATGTCTCCATGAATCTTTCTGTTCACCCTTCAAAGGATTTTGTATATGTATGAGCTACAGTCAGTTGCAGGGGAGGGAGTATTTTGCCCTGTGAACTTGGGTTGTGGGAGAAGTCAACAGGAGGCTGATTATATATACACAAGTCCTAAAACCATCTTTATTCCTGATGCATGCAGCTTTGTCCAAAAATAAATAAATGGTGAAGTGTATCACAAAGGAAGAGACTAGTCTCACTGAAAAMCAAGGAATTCTTTAATACAATGCAAATTCTTAGTGTACTGCCTCAGCAACTTCCTTCATTAATTCCCTTAATCCATTATGAAAAGCCATCTAATTGCTGATTTTTCATCCCTAATTAGCAACTTCATATATGCAAATAAAAACTTTTTTTCTTTTTGCTGTCTTTGAATATGTATCTMCATCTTAGATGAGTAGTGTGCCTTAGCTGCCTCATTGTGTTGGACAAGATTTTGTGCATATATTCTTAAATATATGTGAAAGGTTTGCAGCTTTGCAATCCTTCATGATGAAATGGACTGTCATTTTTAAATAACTACCAGAAATGWTCTACTGGTAAATGTGCAGTAAAGCATGATCTGGAGTTGGTAGGGAGCCTAGCTGGGTGATGGAACAAACCTGCTTTCTGACTTCTGATTTCTRTGTAATGAATTACTGGTATTTTTAATATGACAACAATCAGAAGTAGCTGCTACAAAACAGTGTCTGAATTAATTCCACTAATTAGTTCCTCTTTTGGGGAACTGTGAATATAAAGAGAGCCAGATGGAGTGCTCAGGAAGATTCAGCCCTMATCTTCCCCTTCTACTCCACTGGGATGGATCAGACCACTTCTGGAGAGGAGATGGGAATCCTGCAGTACTGATGTTTCTTTCTGGGATATTCTGCTTTCAGTTAGTTGTCTACCACAACAACATGTGGTTAGTGACCCACCTTTGAACTGAAAGAGGGTAAAACAACTTAATGCTCACAGGCCAAGATYTGAGTCACGCTCCACCAAGGAGCGTGACTTACTGAGAGTGAGTTAAACGACAGCAAATATGCCTAATGAGGAATGGATTAGTGTGTCTGGAAGAGAGCAAATACATGACCTATGAGTGAGGAGGGGATTGTGAGCTAAAAACCAAAGGGTTGAGCAAAGACAAAAAGCAGATGGAAGGCGGAAAAGGAAGAGTGCAAATGTGAATAACTACGGGGGAAAAGTTGAAATCTTACTAAGTTGTATTGGGGTTTTTTTCAGCTCTTACTTACTTCAAGTTGCAATAATCTAGTTTCCTGATATYTTTTTCTATTTGTCAGATTTGGAAACCAAGACTCTCCAAGGTGTGAAGAGTGAAAACAGCCTCAGCACCACAGGCTCCTTCCTTGTTGAAAATTCTAGCGTTGACTTCCAGAAGTTTCCTGACAAGGAAATCTTGAGAATAGCTGAGCCTCTCACTGCAGACTTTACTATCAAGGTGAGGGTCACTGGTCACTGACATCTTAGAGTACAAAGTAAGGCAAAATGTACTAGGAAGATGAAAGAGATTTTCCTAGATCTTAGTTTTCCAGTAGATGTTTATCACAAAGCCAGTTCCAGGCTGTCTCTTGAACTCTATATGAAATTCTTGATGAAATTTGATGAAAGCCTCAAGTGAAACTCTTCAGGAGAGAGAGACTACATTTATGTCGGAAAGGCCTAGGTAATGTGTGCCCTCAAAAGAAAAGATGAACTCATTTCAAGAAAAACCAGGTTACGTTTTGTATTCACTACGGAGGTGCATATAAGTCAATGACATGCAGTTTTCTTTATTTGTGATAAGCAAAATCTATCTTTGGCCCATAGTTTGTTGGTGTATACTAACGTAGCTGCACAGAAGACTGTTAGAGAGTGAAGAGTAAAGTCCCCAAGCTCTAAAATAAATGGGATGACTTTACTTGAGAAGTTATGGTGTCATTTTGAAGTTCTGCTTTTTGTTGCACTGGCAATAAGAGTAAAATTGTTTCCTCCCATTAGAGCATTTCTGCTCTTCCAGGTAATATGAAACACATTGCTGGAAGCAATGCACACACTCTGTGGGAAAACAAACATACAAAAATGAACATTTGGGAGTTGCAATAAAATWAATCCTTTTCCAGTAGGTCCAAGGAACCTGAAGGATTTCAGCTGTAAAACTGCAAAACCTGTGTCATGTCCAGGACTACATAAATTTTTCACCATGGGCGCCAGAGGTAGATGACATTTGCTTTAACCTTGAGCTGATGGCAGCTAGAGGATTGAACAGTGAACTGGAAAATGTCCTAAGTGATTGTCCTGGGTTAAGCTCAGCTGTGCTGGGATGGATTAGCTTGGGAAATAGCACAGTCCTGCAGATTGTCCCCTGCTCTTTGTGGTACRTTATCAGCCAAAAAAAAAGCAAGTTGAAATTTTCAGAGCTGGTTGACAAGGAAAATCYCAAACTAAGGAATACGTTCCCTACTCTTCAAATGTCACAACACAGTAAGTAAATGCCTTACTAAAATAGATACTGTTCAACTCTAAACACATCTGAAACCCACTTATCTGTTCTGCAGATGATACAGAGATGGTGAAYATCAGTGCAATGTAAACAGTATTTCTCATTCTGTGTTATTTCTGTTATCTSTGAGTTTCTGGCAGCCTAGTTATAACATATTTTTTTGAAACAGCTGGTGGTGTAGACCAATGGCTCTGAAATGGTAACATTGTATACTTTTCCTCATATTTCAACTGTTGTCTTTTATGACACGGAAGAGACTTTATCCCTTAGTGCTTATATTTCCTTCTCTATCAAAGCCAGGTTGTTAAATCTATGGAGTACTCTGTTTAAAGGATGGCAGTCTGACCAATATGAGTGTACARGTTGGCTAGGCATGGGCAGAACAGACACTGCTGAATTGAGATTAAACTATTTTTCATTTTGTTACGTGTTTGCACCCTTGAAAGTCAGAGTAACATGACTCATTAGGTGTTAAATCTGCTGTTTTTGTGAATATAGAAAAAGGGTTGTAGGATCTTTTCTAAAGTTAGCATTAAATTTTGCATTGGATTAGGCACACTAGAAAAAGTTCTCTGCTCTTGAGTCACAGTTTTTTAACCAGGAGCTGTAGAAGATACTTTAGATAATACTTCGTGCAGCACACATATTATTCTGTACTATTAAATTATTTTTCTAAACAGTTTTTTTTTCACTTTTGGTGGCTTATTTTGTTAGATTTTGCCAGATATAAGCATGTACAGATGCATGCAATCCAAGATGCGACCTCTCAGTTATGTTAGACTTGGAAACTGCTTTTCATACTTGCTTTACCCATGATTATTTGCCTTCAGATTTTGAAGTGAAAATACTTTTCTTAAAAAAAAAAAGAAATCAGATTAAATATTTCACTGTGGTGTCAGTAGGGTTTCCTTATGACGTAGAATCTCTTTGAGAGTCACAATTTCCTTTCCTGGGCCAAGGCAAGTATGCAGACAGATTTATGCAAACAGATCTAAATTAATTTTTAGACGCAGCAGAACTCTACTTTTAGAATAATTGTCTCCAAAACTATTCTTATAATCCTTTTCACTTGACCCTGAATGGTCTTATTCAGACAGGTCAATTATTCTGGATATAATTCAGAAATAGAAGCTCAATGTGAGACTTCACATTTAGGTTTCTTTATTGGTAACGCAGAGTGCTCTAAAATTGCAAGAAGAAACCTCATGTTGTTCCTGGAGGACCTGAGTTGTATAATTACTGGATTTCTTTACTTTGTAATAGCCAGTGGTACATTCCTCATGTGCTAAACTTTTGGCAGTCTTTTCACAAGATCTGTAAATAGTAAAAATAATTCAGTAAAACAGCTGAATTAGAAAAAAAAAAAAAAACAAAAACAAAAAAAAAACCAAAAAACTCTTATCCCAAAATTGGAGAAGAGACAATGTTCTTCATGTTCTTATTTTTTATATGGATCATTTGAGAATTATAAGTCTCTATTATAAACTTTMATTTTTGAAAGGCAAAAGACCTGGAAAACATGCCAGTAAACTTAAATCCCACTAGAACTATTTTTCCTAAATTCTCAGAATTTCTCTGTTTTGATGTTTTCAATATAAAATTCTGATCCGGATGAATAGAAATGCCTCTTTTCTATAAGAAAAACATGTCATGTTTGATATAATCCTGAAGAAATGGGGGTTGATTTTCATCTGGAAATCTGTCTCTTTCTGTGGTCTAGAGATCAGGGTAGAAATATCACACAGGGGTACGTGCGCTTTACTGGCAGAGCTGTCCCTGCTCTGCTGKGTTGCCAGTATCACCTTTATTCTCTTTCTGTGCTGGAACATCTCTGTTGATAACGGCATTTCAGACCCTGAACAGAGAATCTTGGAGTTCATGCCACACATCTACTCCCCTTTGAGCAGGGTGAAGCCAGATGGGGTGTGCAGGTGACTGTGTAACAAAACCAGTTATCACCCGTCCCCTGTGAATATGAAAGCCATTGGTGTTGAAACCACCAGGAGGGGTTGCCAGTGAACAGTGGAGCTGGCAAAGCGCAGCCTCTTGGGGTCTGCCTCACAGGCTGATTTTTGCACAGCTAAGGCCCTGACTCTGCGGCTGAGGTGTGAGCCAGCAAGGACCAGTAGGTTTGAAACAAGATGTAGTAAAGGGTGCTATCTAGGATTTGGAGTAGAAACCATTGTAGGCCTAGATCTAGTCTAGACTATGTTTATGTTGGTTTTAAATCCCTGGTATCAATGAGGGCTCATTCATAGTGCCTGCCCAGACCGTCCTTTGGATGAGGGATGTATAAAGTTGGATCTCACTAATGTTTGTCTGGAGGCTTTTAGAGGTATTTGGATTAGGATTGCATTGTATTGATGCAATACTTTCACAGTGCTAGGGCTGACAAGCCTTGGCTAAGGGCTGCTGCCAGAAGAGACTGTCTGGTGCTTTGTTTTGTGCTGGTGGCTGGGGGGTACTGCTGGCTGATTCAGAAATTGTGTGTACTGGGTTCACTTGGGCAGAATTACTGCTGAAATTAGGGTTTTGGCCACTAATTGTCCAAAAAGACATAAAACACATCTCAAAAGTGGATGCTGAATTACACAGAACTCTAGAGCTAGCCAGCTGTTGGCTCAGCTGCAATCTAGCACTGGCAGAAAGTGCTGGTGAGAGAAATAGATTTGATAACAGTCCAGGTTAGCGAAAGAAAATAAGGTTGGGACTTAGTCTAGACTTCCTGGGACTTACAAGGGCATGCAGGAGATAATGCATCATGTACTGACAGACAGCTTGCAGAGAGGCTGATGGGCCGTGTCAGGATGGGGCAGGGTTGGATGAAACATTACTTTGAATAAGAAGCACACAGTGATTTACTTTGTGATATGAAATAAATTATTTMAATCCTCACTTTAAGGCCAAATGATGCAAATTTGCTCTAGCAGTAAAGAGCTACTGTTTATAGTTCACATATTGTTGGATATTTGTGATATTACCTTATGGGGATTGGGAGTAAAGACTGTAAGGGTCTTCTGTACAATTTAATTTTGATGCTGGGAAAGGTTTCAAGAAGAGACTGTACCTCATTTTTGGGAGAAGGCTTTAGATCAGATGGGAAGTGGTGAAGAATCTTGGAAGCACTGACAGCTCAGGATTAGAATGGTGCATATGGAAGTAGATGAGATAGAATTAAAGCTAAGTGCACAGAAATAGTAATAGTAAAAGTTTAATGTGACTGATTCAGCTTTTGTGTTATCAAGGTCAGCTCACTGAAGCACTTCTTTTCATCTAGAAGAAATCAATAGAATATTATCAATTAATTGTAAAGCAGAAGTACCTCTTGAGATGTCTGTCTTCCTAAGGTCATGTTTGCACACTGCAGATTGGATTTAGTTGTAAGCATGTCTGTATTAATGGCTTTCATCAACCTGTTTGCATTCAGTACTTCTTTTTCTAGTAATAGTCAGAAAAATCACCCACTCTGATTTCCTGATACCCGAAAAATTTACAGTTTGTGTTATAATTTCTAGACCAAACTCACAATGACCAGCCTGAAAAGAGATGCAATCATTATTTATYTTGGCCAGATCTTGTGACAAGTTCAGGAAATTTTTTTTTTCTCCTATATTGGCAAATGAAATGTATGAAAAACCATGAAACAGGCCTTTTGAAAACAATGTACAATTTTTAGTTCATATCAACCTTTTTTTCCCATGTTCTGTATAAATTATTTCAATTAACAGTATGTACAASATGATCATTCTCCTAATCAGTATATTTCATTTGACCTAGCAGCCACTGGATGATTTCCATAATGAACAATACACTGTGTTAAATAAGTGTTTATTTAACACTGTGTTAAATAAAATCTCATTTTCAGCCCTTGGTGCAATATTTTCACTGTTTCCTTCTGGTTTTCCCGCTCTGAGAAACTGGAAATTATGACTACTGTTTACCTCCTTTTTTSTTCACTT